TAAACGCACATTTTAGGATGCCTTTACATTTTCATCATGATGAATGAATGAAAAAAAAAGTTCAAGATTGATTTTTGTTCTGTTTTCTGTTTTGTTTTGTAAATATAAATATTATCATCATTATTATACATGACCCGGCGAGTAAGCGTAAATGTACAGGAAAAAAAATTCAAATCACAATAATCGATAATGGCAAACAAATATCATATATACACGGAACCGATTCTTTCTTGTCATCAATTCGGTAATTCAATTCATTCATCGTGTGTGTGTAGTAATAGGTACAGAATTCAATTTCTGTTTGTGTGTGTGTGTGTAATATATGTTTGCACATAACATGCACATGAATGAATGAATTACCGTAATATGTGTGTGTGTGTGTGTAAACGTGGAACAAAAAGGAAAATGAATGAAAAGAATCGGTTTTTTTTCTCTTCAAAAATTCTTTATTCTGGTTAATATGTGCACCATCAATAAACGCGCACACAGAGAAAGACAGATGTTGTGTGTGTGTGTGTGTGTGTGTGTGTGTGTGCAAGTGTTTCGATTATATTGGTTTAAAATAAAGTGAAAAAAAAAAAAAAGCAAAAACAGGGGAAAAAAATATCATATTATTAATGGGGGGAGATAAAAAAGAGAGGGAAAAAAATTGTGTGTGTGTGTGTTTGTGTTTACTAGATCAAATATTTAAATTCCACTCACTCATTCATTCACTGACACTGTTCAAATGTTTTCTTTTCATTTTTCTCTCTCTGTGTGTGTGTATGTGTGTTATTTGTCTGTATGAATGTATGTCATAATCATTACATAATAATGATACTTTTCTCTAGATACAAGACCAGAAGCATTGAATTTTGACAACAAAAAAAAAATTCCTGATTCAGTTTATTCTTCTTCATGCTCGTGTGTGTGTGTTTTTAGCGGAAAAACCACAAAATTATCGATACACACACACACACACAATCATTGAATTAAATGGATGAATTTTCAATTTTTCAAGAGAAAAGCAAAAAACAAGAGATATAATTGAATGATGATAATGATCAAATGGTCAAACATTAGAAATGATACGCCTTTTTTGAAGAATAAACAGGAAAAATAAAGACAAATAAAAAGATTTTCAATCTTTTTTTTTTGTTCTCATCAAAGTTCATCATGATGATGATGATGACCACACTGTATTTGTTGATCAGTTTCTCTCTCTCTGTATGTGTGTGAGTGCGTGACATTTCAAGTGTGCTATTTGTTTGAGATTATAAAATTTTTTTTTATCAAAAAAAAACTAACGTTTTGTTTGTCTAGTTAGAAACAAAGAAAACAGAGAAGGTTTATCACTATCAAGCCTTACGGCAGTATTGTTGTTGCTGTTGCTATTTGGGTTTAAGTTTGGAAAAATGATGAACCTTATTAGGGTATGATTGGATAGATAGATGGATGACCGATTATACCTAAAAAAAATGGAACTGGTTTGTTTTTTACCAGCAAAAAAAAAAAAGACACAAAGTTCATTCATCATTTGATGATCATGTGATCATCAAATGATTTTCTATCATTCACTCTCATCATCATCGTCATTCGTTTGGATACAAAGGTCGTATGTACCAAAAGTCGATCATCCACTCTATTACAATGGTTTAAATTTTGTTGAAAAAAAAGTTCAAATGACAATATGTGTGGATGATAATGAATCACTTTCGATTGATGGAATAGAATTACATCACAAGGTACCCACAATCGAATTTCATCCATCAAATAATCATCACCTAAATCAAAAAAAAAATTGGTTCAATAAAAATAAAAAAAAATTTTCACTACAAAGAAAAATTATTCACCAGGTGAAATGAACAACAACAACAACATAAAATGGACGGCAAATGATGAAAGCGATAAAAAACAACACCAACACCAACAACAACAACAACAAAGGCGGTAAAATGAAATGAGAATCGAAATCATCAAATTGAATCAACCGGCTATCGATTGAGGATTGTAAACACACACACACACACATACAGACTGAATATTCAAGAAATTGTGAGAATGAAGACATTCAAATCAACGAGAAAATTGAGCCAAAGATTGTAAAACAACAACAACAACAACAACAAGACCAGACCTCCCGTAGTAAAAAAAAAATATTCTTTTGTGACATTTGCCGCTAATTTTTTTCGTCTTATTATTCAAAAAAAACAAGAATAAAAATGACATCATCGTCATGATGATGAAAATTTTGTTCTATTATGTGAACCTTTATTTTTTACAGGCTCAATAACCTTTATGGTATAAAACACAGGTATACTGCAACAACAGCAAAAAAAAAAACATTGAGGGTCAATTTGTGAAAATGAAAATCGAGAAAAAAAGCATTTACAATGTATTCAGTGTGTGTGTGTGTGTGTGTATGCAAGTGAGTAATTAGAATAGAATTTTTCTTTGTTTTTTTTTACGACTACACAACGATCGATGCATTATTATTATGGCACATTGCACACACACACACATCCCTTATTGGCTGCTACATGTAATTCATACCTATTGGCTATTTTGGATATTAAACGTTTGTCGGCATTTTTTTTCCTATTCATCATCATCATCACCATCATCATCATTTCTGGTTGATGACAGAAAAAAGTTAGCTATGATTTTGTTGTTGTTGTCGTAGTCGTCGTCGTCGTGATTAACTTACAACAACCAAAAATACGATAAAAACTCGTAAAATGAAAAAAAAAAAACCAAAATCAAAATGATATCAATTTTTTTTATACCGGAAGAATTGAAAAAATATGATATATAATGATCAATCAATAACGCCGCTACAAGCCATTGAGAATTATTATATCCTCAACACCAGAATTTTATTCTTGGCGGTGGTTATTATTATTATTATTATTAAAAAAATACACAGAAAAATTCTAATTATCAGAAAAAAATGTGACTTTTATCATCACCATTATATACATGATTATATTATATTCGTTGCAGCTATAGAGTTATCGTTGCCATTATCATTGAAAACTACTATCCATCATCACCACTACTATCCATCATCATATCAGATATGAATGAATAACAAATCAACAAAACATATACGATAATTATTTGAATGAGATATCATCATCATCATCATCGATGATGATGATGATGATAAAGCAAAAACTAGTTATTGAAAAAAAACAACAAAGGTGTGTCCTGTACGATAATGATTAGCCAATCAGAATCAAGTTTCACTGTATTTATTATACAAATAATGGGCGTGTTTATATTTGATCTAATACAAACAACAAAGAAGAAAACTATAGAGAGATAGATCTACTCTACTCTACACACAGGACAAAAAAAAAATCATAGCCAATTGGCTGCTTTTTTTTCTATTGGTTGGTTCCACACACACACACTGGACCAACAACAACAACAACAAAAACGGGGCATTGGCAAATATTGAATGAAAGAGTGTGTTTTTCCAAATGGAAGAAGCATATAATAACGTTTCGTGGAAAAAAAACCAGAAAAAAATACAGAAATGCGCAAAAAAGACAGAAAAAAAGAAAAGAAAAAATAAACTTAAAGTTCTGTTGAGTGTTTCATACATATATATTTTTCATCATCATTTCAGTATTTTTTTTCCTATGGCAAAGAGTTTGTGTGTGTGCGTTTCACACCGTTTTTTCTTCTCTCTCACGCGTTTTTTTTTTTTGGTCAATCATCAAATGTGTGTGTGTTTGTCATCATCATCATCATCATTGTTGAAAAAGTCATATATACACACACATACATAGACATGAAAATCTACTTGCTTGCTACTTGCATCTACTCTTTAGCCACTGAAAATAGTGTAGATATAAAAATTCACAAAAAAAAAAAAAAAATTCAAAACCAGAATGAAATATCCATTCATTCACCACCACAACCACTCTGCAAACTAAAGTCCTCTTGACTATACAAACATTTATTCATTCATTTTATATATATATATAAAATAATATTTGTTGTTTGATATTTGATTTCGGTAAAGAATTTTACCATCATATTGTTGTTGTTGTTGTTTGATATAACAATATTTGTTTTTACGGTTCACAAACACACACACACACAAACACAGATATATATAGAGAATCTTGTTTTAGGATGTGAATGTTGTGTTTTTTTTTTTTGTACATATATTTGTTCAATGTCCACAAAGTGTATATATATGCTATATCTATATCTATATGTGAATGATGAATATATAACAAACACATTTTGTGAATTATTTGTGTGAAAAAAATATACATTATCATCGTTTTATACATTTGTATCATCATCATCATCATCTATTCTCTATCCATTTATTTTGGAACAACAACAACAACAACGACAACAGTAGAAAAATTTTTTTTACGTCAAGTGTGTTTGTATGTGGGTATGTGTGTGTGTGTCTCTCACCCATTTAATGATAACTAACCATCCATCCGAACAACAAAACCAAACCAAACCAAACCAAAACTAAACCAAACGAACCAATAAGAAAATGAATCCAAATAATGATAATAAATATATATATACATTACTATATTAGAATAAAATGAAACAAAAATAAAAACTGACCAGAAAAATATCATCAATGTTTGTCTACAGTACACACACAGACACACACACACACACACACATAGACAAATCAAACATCAATCAATCAATCAATCAATCGATCAATAATAAGCATCATCTTAAATTAACTAACTCAAAAAAAAACAAAACAAAATCATCATCATCATCATCTTAACATCTTCATTAATTTGGTTTATTATCATTATTAAATACAAACAAATGCTAAAAACATACACACACATACTTTGATGTCATATATATTTATTCAATTGAATATTCAAATATAAGTAAACATCATCGTCAATGATTGTTGTGAATATAAAATAAAAAAATTAAATCAACACACACAGACTCGTGGTGTGTGTGTGTGTATGCTACGTTTGTTTGTTTGTTTTTTGTGTATCATCGTCATTTGTTTATCCTATGACAATATTAGCATTTTGACTAACGATATATTACACAAAATTACTGAAGAATTTATTCAAACAACAAAAAAATTTTCATTTTGTTTTTCAAACGAAAATCAAGTTCAAGTGTCATTCATATATACCAGTAATTATTAATCGACAGTGTTCATCATTTGTTAATCATTCATATTGATATATTGATTGATCAAGTGCCATTTTTTTGTTTTCTCTTGAACAAAAGAAATGTTGAATCACAAATCTTATCAGGATCAACAACAACAATCATCAATAACATCATCAACAATCTATAATACAACAAATATGAATCAATCATCATCATCATCATTATCATATACAATGGCAGCGGCTGCAGCAGCGGCAGCCGCTGCCGCTGCTGCTGCTGGTAATATGGCCACAAATTATTCATCATCAACAAATAGCCAAATATTTGTGCCAAATATGATCACAACAAATGGTATAGGTGTTGGTGCTAATTCTTGTATCAATAATTCAACAGCAGCAGCAGCAACAACAACATCATCATCATCATCGTCATCATCGTCAACATCATCGACAACAATTAATGGACAATTGATTAATAATAACGTGACCAATTTATCATCAACACCATCATCGATAACAAATGATACTGGTGGTGGTGGTGCAGCAGCACCAAATCCAGATGGACAACAATGTTTATCACCAGCTATTCCGGCTTCGAATAATAATCAACCATTATCACCGATATCAGCTGCAGCTACTAGTAATAATCAAATGAATGGAATTCATTCACCACCATCATCATGTGGTCTAAGTAGTGTTTCATCATCTGCATTACGTATTGGTGGTGGACCTGGACATACTAATCTCAATAATAATGATTATTCAACCAATAGCTCTATGGATTCAAGCACAAATGCATTATTACAACGTGCAAGAGCTGATAAAACATATCGTCGTAGTTATACACACGCTAAACCACCATATTCATATATATCGTTGATTACGATGGCCATACAGAATTGTCAGAACAAAATGTTAACATTAAGTGAAATCTATCAATTCATAATGGATCTATTTCCATATTATCGTCAAAATCAACAAAGATGGCAAAATTCCATAAGACATTCATTAAGTTTTAATGATTGTTTTTTAAAAGTGCCTCGTACACCGGATAAACCTGGAAAAGGAAGTTTTTGGACATTACATCCTGATTCAGGTAATATGTTTGAAAATGGTTGTTATTTACGGCGACAAAAACGTTTTAAATGTGACAAAAAAGATGGCTCATCATCAACATCGACATCATCACATCATCGACATTTACATAAAAGTAGTAATAGTAGTCTATCATCATCAAATAATAGTAATGGTAGTACAAATAATAATAAATCATCATCAATCGATGCTAATAACAGTGGTCATACAACATTGATTAATATGACAACAGCAGCGACTAATATGAATAATTATATGAATGGTTTAATGAATAATAATAATTCATATTTGACATCACATCAACAACAACAACAACAACAACAACTTGAACAACAACAACAACAACAAAGACATTTAAATGGTTTAAATCATCAACAGCAACAATTATTGGATGATTGTACAAAAATTCAGGATCATCATCATCATAATCATCATCAACAATTACAGAATCATCATTCACAACATCAACATCAACATCATGGTGGAAGTCAACATCAACAACATCAGCAGCCACATCAACATCATCAACATCAGAATCATCCACATCATAATTCATTGAATGATCATCATATGAATCTGTATGGTGGCCATAATCATCATCATCATCATCATCAAGGACGTACAAATCAATTATTAACAGATCCAAATCTTATACATCAAACTACTAGTATGTTTTTTACTGGCGGTGGGGCTAGTGGTGGTCAATTGAAAACAGCAAATGATTTAGGACTTCATTATTTAGGACGTGAACATAATCCATTTTCAATACAAAGTATAATATCAAGCGGTGAAGCCACTGCGGCCACCACTACTACCAATAATAATAATAAAGGAGACATGAAATTATATGAAATGCAATGTAATGCATATAATGGCAATGGTAATAATGGTAATAATGGTGGTAACAATAGTCCATTATCATTATCACCGATGACACCAAATTTACATTCAACAGCAACGGCAGCTGCAACACAAATGGCAAATGATTCGGCTGCCTATTATCATCATCATTCACATCATCATACACATCCAGCATCATTATATCATTCAACATGAAATCAATTGATTGGATTATTCGTACAAACAAACAGACAAAATTCAATTTTGCATTGCACTTAAAAAAAATTGTATTATTAATCATTACTCATCATCATCATTTCAATTAACATTAAATATTTAGTATATTCGTGTTAATTTGGTAATTTGTAATTTGGATTGATTATTCAACAACAACAACAAGAATGGCTCACATACACACACAGACACATTTATATTATCATCATTTAATCATCAATTCAACAACAACAACAACATTTCAATGAATGAAAAACACACCCGTTGATTTCCTCCGTTTGACCTCAATTTTTTTGTTTATTTGTTTGTTTCCAATAATTAATTACACACACACACACACACACACACACAATATCGATAATCAACAATTTCAAACACAAACAGATAAAACAGAAAAAACTTTCTTTTTTTGTTGTAAATAAAATTGACAAACTAAAAAAATTTTTTTTTTCACGAATCTAACCAAAAAAAAATCGATCAATTTTTTTCTGCCTAATTCATATATGATCATTATTATGGTAGTGATGATGATAATGATTTCGTGTGTAGAAATAATAATAAAAAAAATGATTGATTGATGTGTTTGTTTGTTTGTTTATTATTTGTATCGATGTCATTCTCATTTTGATATTTAACATGACAAGTTGGCCAAACGAAAATTTTAATCATCATCATCATCATCATGATCTGTCATCATCATCAAAAAAAATCAAGAATCATCAAATAGAATTGGACAAATGTTTTGCAGTTACTGGTTACTATAGTGATGATTCTTGGGTAATTTTTTTTCCCACTCACATTCTCCATAGAAGATCGATACCAACAACCAATGGAAAAAATGAAAACAAACACACGCGTGCGTTATTTTAATAGTCAAAACCAATTTCAAATTCTAGTTTACCGAAAAAAAAACAAAACAAAAAAATCATTTAGAAATTGATCTACTCGATATATTGTAACGAAATAATCATAATCATTATCATCATCATTATTATTGATGATCATTATCAATTTTTTTTTAAAAAGCAACTATTTTGACACGTGTCATTTTTTCGAAAAAAAAACAACAACAACAACAACAACAACAACAATGATCAATTTTGATCTCATGAGAAAAAAAATCATTTAAATGATTGGAATAAAAAAAATCGATTCTTTCATTTTTTTTTCTACCTGGAAAAGAATTTTGCAAATAAAGTTTTGTTGTTGTTGTTCAATTATCATCACCACCATTCATTCACATACACACACACCAAAGTGCGAAGTACCAGCAACAACAACAACAACAACAACGAAAAAAAGATAAGAAGATAATAAATGATGTGATGAATTATTTTATTTTTTTTTTTTTTTGTGAGTTGCCACCACCACTTCTCTCTCCTCTCTCTCTCTCTCTCATTCAATCATCAACTCTATTGTAATGCTCGAAACAAAACAAATTGTTTTTTAGCAAAAAAAAAAAAAACCATCCAAGTGGCCTATCCGAGAGAGAAAAAGATGAAAAAAAATTAGACCTTAACAACAACAACAAAAAAGTAAAAAAGACCACCAGCAAACTGAAATGAAAAAATCATCATCATCATCATGGTCAAAATGAATGGAAAAAAAATTCGATTAAATATCGAACAAGTGATTTCATGAGCAATGAACAAAAATGTTCAAGTCGAGAGAGTGAAACAGGAAAAAAAAGCTGAGAAACTTTGTGTTTTTTATTTTTTTTTATTTTTGAAGATGTGTCTGGAAAACCAAAAAAATTTTTTTTTTTTTAAGCCATTCATTTCTCATCATCATTGTTTTAGTTTTGGTTCAACACTAATGATGATGATGATGATGATGATGATGAACTCTACAAATCATCATTCGAATTTCTAATCTAAAGAAACATTTTCTTCTTCAGGTAAGAAAATGAAAGAAAGAAAAAAAAAATAATCTCATTTCATGTAATGTGGTTGGTTGGCTAGTTGGTGGTTTGGTGGTTGTTGTAATCTTGTGTGTGTGTGTGTGTGTGAGAGAGAGAGAGAAATCAAATAATAAGCAAATACAATTATTTGTATGTGTGAAGAAATAAAAAAAAGAAAAAAAACCATTTTAAAAAATTCATTACCATATACCACCACACCACACAGCAGCCCATTTGTCCGGACAAAATGTTGTTGTTGTTGTTGGTATACACAGGTAGACATCAATGTGTGTTTTATATATAATAAAAACTTAGAGTGTAGGCAACACACAGGTACAGTAAGAAAAAAAAAAAACTAAAACAAAAACAGAAAAAAAGACAATTAAAAAAAAGACACACACACACACACACACACATAATCATCACATTTGCAAGGCCATTGATGATTGTCGGATGTACTAGACAGCTTGGCTCTTTTCTTTTCTTTTAGACTTTTTGTCTATCTACCATTGTTTTTGTGTGTGTGTGTGTATGAGTGTGTACGTTTTAGTCGTTGATCTACTTTAGATTTATATAATATACTTGTTTGTTATCGTCGTCATCGTCGTCGTTGTTGTTAGCATCAATCAATCTAGCCATCAAGCACAAGAACAATTAATTTTTTTTTTGAAATCCCAAAAAAACCACGACGATGATTGCTGATGACCCATCAACAACCGCAATGATGATGGTGATTCAATTGAAGGAATCGAAAAAAAAATTGAATTTAGATGAATGAATGAATGAAATTTTCTCTATAGAGTAAAATCAATTTTACAAATCATCAACAAAAAAAATATGTCGAATGTAATAGTGGATTGAAGAGAGAAAAAAAAATTATCTCAATGAATGAAAGTAAATTCCGATAATGATGAGTGCAGAGAAAATAAGCAAAACACATGAACACACACACAAGTTTTGAACGTTATTCTATTGTGATTTTTTTTCCCTGAATTCTTCTTTCCAGCATGTTTAAAGTTCAAAGTTTGCTTAATTGTTCAATCAACCAAAGTCTCGATTCTTATTCTGATCAAACATCATCAACATTAACATTTAGCAAGATTAAAAAGTTTGTGTTTTGTTTTTCGCTGGATAAATGTGAAAATTAACTATAACGAATGGTGAAAAAAATCATATTCAAGTCACATCGTCATAACAAAGTTAAACAAAACGAAAAATGAAATAAAATGGTTGAAAAAAGGCTTTCTTTTTTTTTTACTGTGATTAATTCATTTTGGATTTATCAGTTATGAAAATCATGATGATATAAAATGCAGGCAGAGAATTTTCTCTTCATTTTCACCATTTTTATAGTCGCTAAATTAAAAACGAGATGAAGACAAAAAGAGAGAAATTCATTTTCAACAGCGTTTTTTTTCTCTTTGGTTAATTAAATTAGAAAATTTCGCACGCGTGCACACAGACACACACACACACACATAAATTTTAACGAATCGCAATTTGAAGAAAATTTTCTGGTACGAAAACGTACGTGTGTCAAACACGGTCATATAGAGAGAGAAGAAACAAAAAACAATTTTGACCATTTTCGTAGGCGTCAAAATAAATAGATTTCTAACCATCACCATTCCTGGTATGATTTCGTTGATCTTTTACTAAATAAAACGATAAAATTGATGATTAGTTTCATGATCAATTGTGATTATTCAATTGATATTAATTTGATTAAAAAAAATTTTTTTTTCTTTCTGAATCAAAGTGTAAACAATTCATCACCCCTACAACACTGCGAACATCACATCCAACAGATCCAATCGAATCGAATCGAGCCGAATCGGAAAAATTTATTAAGAGAAAGAGAATGACCGTGTCATTGTATGGGTTTTATTATTTTGTCATTTCAGAATTCTATTCATTCGGGTAATCAAAAATAAAAGAATTTTAAACGGGTAGTTAGTAGCAATGGCAAGTATTAGTAGTAGTAGCAGCTTAAAACCGCAAAAACACACACACACACACACAATCAAATATCACAGGTGTCCACATACATAAATCACATGTTTGAAAATATCCTATGAGTGAATACAGTCAATACAATGGGTAAAAATACCAGCTTCCAAATGGAACACACACACACACAAATACACATCAAGGCTGTCAGATTTTTTTTCCAGTCGATGATTGACAGATGTTTTGAGGTTTATTTTAAATCTAGATCCAGAACACAACAAAAATGATGAATGAATGAATGAATGACAACCATAGTGCATGTCTTTATTATTATTACACACTTAAACCAAAAAAAAAAAAAAAAAAAATTGTTGTCGATGATCGAAACATTTTACTACTTTACCTTTATCAGAATATATTACGAGAGAGAGAGAGAGAGAGAGAAATGGAAATCAATTCCCTTGGCATCATTTCGGGATACTTGACAAACAGAAAAAAAAATTCTGATTATTATTTTTCCAACATGGAATATATTCTCTCCATCTCATGTGAATTCAAATAATTCATCAAATTATCCCATAATTCAAAGTCCTATGAGAATCAATTTGAATCAATTATTTTCATCATTATTATTATTATATGGAACATATTGTTGCTATGAATTTCATTTCATTGTCAATCATTAAGATCATCAGGATCAATTAATCAAACTTAATGTATAGTACCAATTGGAACTAAGTGTGTGTGTGTGTGTGGTCGAAAATTTTATCAATCAGTCAGATATTGTAACCCATGTGGGGTTACCTGGATAAAAATCGATTTTGGTGGTATTGAACACCAATCAATCAATCAATCAATTGATGATGATAAATTTTCATTATCAGGTGAATTTTGAATACAAACAACAACAACAACAACAACGAAAAACCAAAAAAAAAATCAATCAATTAATCAATCAAAAATTAAACATGCAGTTTTTTTCGCCAAATACCATCATCATCAATATCGATTGATTGCTTTTTGTTTTGTTTTGTTTCGGAAATGACATTTATTTTATTTTTTGCACACACACACCCATTTCCCTTCATTCTCTCTTTCTCTCTCTCTCTCTCTCTCTCGCTCTATCTCTCTTTACCATGACA